GCAGAGGAAGAAAACCCGATCCGAGTAAATCCTCTTAATTGTGCCTTACTGCGCGCAGCACGGAAACAGAAAGGATTTAATCAAACGACAAATCACGATGTGTCATCGCTTGTTGCTTTATGTCGAAAGAATGGTCAGACCCCGGTCGTTGAAACACCTGTAACAGTTCTAGGTTCCCATGACGCTCGCTCGGGTAAGTTCTCGTTGAACTTTTTCTTTTTAATTCTTTATTTTGTTAGAGGTCCTCTCTTCTCTCCGATCCAATTCTAGGTCAATGACTGGATTAAGGGAGAATTTTGTGTTTCGAGTGCGCACGGGAAAGTGCTTTTCACTCGGTCCTGCTCAAGTGTTCCGCCCTGTCCTGATGCCGTGGGATGCCGAAGTTCAGTTGAGGGTGCGCGGTGAAAGGTTTGAAACTCTTCAAACGAGTTCTGCCAATTTGTTCACCGTGTTGTAAGGTACAAAGTGAGGCAATTCTTTGCATTGTAGGTACGTGGTGGATCACCTGGATTGCGATGGGCGTGGGAAAAGTGTTTGGAATGGATTTGACAATTATCGACTTTCTGTTACTTTCCGATTAACTTGTATATTTTCGTGAATTGCAGTTACATAAATTGTGGGTGTTTGATATTCTCCAAAATTGAACTTTCAATTGCAACCGTGTTGTGAGTACGGTATTTTGACCATCATTCGCTAAACAAACGCAAAGGTGTCACTTGCACTTATTATTCGTTGAATTTGTCGAGTACATCCCTCTTATCTGTCACTGATCGTGTGAAATTCGGCCCATAAAATTGCACGACACCGGCCGAGCCACTTGAGCTGTCGTCACCCTTTTCAGCTTCAGCAATTCGAAGGCGGTCCACACTTGAGAAAACATAAATTTCCATTCCTGAAAATAGCAGCACCACTTGGTTACGGCTCGTTCGCGTTCATCAACACCCATTCTTCAGAATCCGAACAAACATGCAATCCTCGTTCCAGAACACGCACTCGGGTCTATACTTCAATCAGGTGGATTCCGGCTTTGATCCTGGTCCCGTATTTTTTCAGCAAATATTTTTTTATTTTGTGTCGCTTTCACCGCATCCTTTTTTTGTGTAGCAGCCCAAGGGGTGAATCGTCGTCGATCCTTCGGGATTCGATTAGGCTTTTCTCGTTCAGGCAAGCCGAGGGGGAGGGAAAGGCAGTTTCGGTATTATTTTTTGTTATTATCATAATTTTATGAGCGAGAGACGATTAGGAACATTCAAATCGGATTGGCCCCGGCCGGCAGGGACGAACATAAGCCGCTAATAAAGTACGATGTTTATTGAGGCCTGAAATCTTCCCCGGTGAGCACCCGCACTTGCCGCTTGCTTCCTGGCGCTGATTTTTTTTGAAATCGTGCTATTTTCCCGGAGATCATTACCGGATTAACGCCGTTTCGGGGGATGCGCTCGTATAGGCGATTCGTACGCAGGTGGTCCCAGTGAGGAAATGAGCTCCGGTTATGTTTATTTGTAAACAAATTGTAAGCATTTGGGAGATAACATTTAGGAGATTTTCGCAGGATAATGTCAATAATCAGCAAACGGGACCAGATGTTCGGTTCACGTGCAAGCGGCAGGAAGAAACTCACTTGTTACGATGCATGTCGTATACACCTTTCGTTCGCAAAGTGAAATAATGTTTTCCTGAAAGGTCTTTTCACGGAAAGTTCGCTCACTGGATCAAATTTCAGAGGCCACATTGGAGCATTTTCAGGCCAAGTAGTAAAAACACTAATTTCACACTGGACCTTCTTCGCCTATAGAGAACAACTGGTGCAAGCTTGATCAAAGTAGTCGATCGCCTTCAGAAATAACGTCAAATGGAACTAGAAAAAAGAGAAAATATTGTGCACAAACACCTGGAAAATCCGGAGTGGTCCAGTGCCAAGCTGGCTAAAGTGCTGAAGATGCCGAAAACAACAGTTTGTCAAGTGCTCAAAACCTACAAGGAAACCCTGAGTGTGGAAAGGAATCAGCGGACCTACGAAAAAACTCGTACCAGGGATCTTCAGCAGCGCAGCAATGTGTTGAGGTGCGTTAACGATAGCCCCGGTCTTTCGATCTGAGATGTAGCCAGAAGATACAACCAAATATATCATATTAACAATATGATCTATTCATGGCTTTTCCAAATATTGCAATGGCGACCCGCAAAATATTGCTTCACGAACCATCTAGCGTTAAAAAGGTCAGCAACAATCATTAAATTACAATCGAGGAGTGCGAATATAGCACTTATTACGAAAGTAAGAGTCACATTATTTTCATTAATTACATTGTGTTTATTACTTTAAAATTTGTCTGACATGTCACTGTTGTCATCAAATAAAATAATATGCTGGAATATATTCATTTTAAATATTAAACAAATTTTCATTTGGTTTACCCCTCGTGACGATAAACAAATACATTGGTAGCCTTTTTGGCCACAGAGGTGCTTTCATCGCTAAAAATTTGGTTCGCCAGCTAAGCGAAAGAGTGGATCATATTGTTAATATAATATATTTGATACAACGCCAACTTTCAAACGGTGCGGATCATCCTTGCCAGGGAAGGATACTTGTACGACTTGAGCCGGTAAACATCCGAACCGGCACATGAAGCAGAAATCCGTGGCCAAAAAGCGTGCAAGGCTCTTGTACGCCCGTTTTTTGACGAAACACAAGGACTGCACTTTGATCGATGACGAAACATACGTCAAACTTTAAGCAGCTTCTCGGTCAAAAGTTTTACATCGCAACTGGACGCGGGGATGTGCCCGGAAGATTCAAGTTTGTGTTTGCCGACAAGTTCGCGAAGAAGGCCATGATTTGGCAAGCGATTTGCAGTTGTGGCCTGAAAACGAAACCAATCGTCACATCCTCGACGATGACATCCCAAATCCCGTATGGGATCACCATTAGGGCCCATTCACAACTTTGTAATTTTGGGTTTGGAGGTGAACCAGCCCAAGGCTGAAAGCCTCCCTAATAAAGATAAATAATAATAATAGTTTGCTGAATCAATTCAATGCAAGTGATTTGAAACCGAGAAAAAGGTAAATCCTGAGTCAGGGGCCGAGAGCCGGATTCTCAATTAATTGTTGTAGAAGAGACGGTATCAGTGGTGAAATGGGCCACGTTCCGCATTCACCTGTCTGATTGAATCAAATTTTGAACAAATTAATTGAAGGATTTTGCATGAGTTATTCCAAGTAATAACATGACGGAAGTCTTAAATTTATGAATTTATGTTCTCAGTCAAGGGCCAAGTGCGACATAAACATTACTGGTGAAATGGGCCGTGTTCCGGATTCACCTGTCACAAATGACAGAATTGACTTCAATAGTGATAGTATAAATGAAAACATAAATTGAGCATATGAATGAAAACATAAATTAACTAAGTCAAGGGCCGAGTGCTGGATTCTCAGTTTATTTTATTTGAAAGATATTTGACAAACGAGAAACAAAAAAATGGTGAAATGGGCCGCGTTCCGGATTCACCAAAGTTTAATTTTTAGGTTAAGTACTAAATAAAACTTGAAGCCGTGTTTTAGATAATTTTAGTGCATAACTGTGGACCTCGTCATGTTCCAAAAGATGAAACAGAATTTCACAAGAAGGCGTTTCGATATTATTTTGTTTTGAGCGTGATTGATAGAATAGTTAAAGCACTATCGAAGACAAGGGTAAAATACAGAATTTTGAGTTTTAATATTAATAATCGTAAAAATTTTCTCAGACAATGGAGACATTCAGGCCAGTCAAGCAATTTGATGCGAAGGTAGATAAGTCGCAATTAGCGTCGGAATGGAGAAAATGGAAGCGTAGCTTGGAGTACTACTTGGCCACCAGTGGGATTACTGGCCAGCGCGAGAAGAGGAATCAGCTTCTACATCTTGGAGGACCAGATCTGCAGGACATTTTCGATAATTTGCCAGGGGTGCACGATGTGCCACACGTTTCTCCAGATCCACCATTTTATGATGTGGCCATTCAACAACTTGATTGTCATTTCCAACCATGCAGACGACGAACGTATGAAAGACATGTATTTCGCCAAATTTTGCAACTTCCAGGAGAACGTGTTGGCGATTTTGTAATGAAACTACGCGTTCAAGCAAGTCGGTGTGATTTTGATCAAGAAGGCAGTTCAGTGATGGAGAGCATGATCATTGATCAGATCGCGGAAAAATGCATTTCGTCAGCTCTTCGCAAGAAAATTCTGAAAAAGGATCGACCTCTCGACGAAGTAGTAGCCATCGGAAAAACGATTGAGGAGGTCGAGCAGCAATGTAAGGAAATGGTTCAAAGGGAAAGTGATGGTAAACCATCGACTGCTGTGAATAAGGTGAACCAACAGATCCCACAGGCGACAAAACCTGCATTCCAATCAACAAGGAACCATTCATTCCAGTCCCAAGGGCATTTTCGCTGGCAGAACTTTCAAGACCAACCGCGGTTCAGATTCGAGGCCAAAAGAAATTGGTTGGCTCCCGGAAATCAAGCTTTTGTCGGACCGACTGGCGGGCGACAACCAAACAATGACAACAGGATTTGTTTTGGATGTGGACGTCGTGGGCATCTCAAAGGCAGCCCATCATGCATTGCCCGAGAAGCACAGTGTCTCAAATGCAGAACTTTTGGCCACTTTGCTAAATGGTACACTAAGAGGACAAACGATGATTCCGTTCAGAATGCTACCCCATCTAAACGTATCAAGACGGTAGTTGAATCCGACGAAAATATGCACGGAAATCAAAATATCACTGGAAAAGAACAAGAAATTTGCTTCATAATGGGTGGAAATGTTTTTCGTTTTAAAGTGGGAGGCATCGAGACCGTTATGACGATTGACTCTGGAGCCGCAGCGAATATTATCGACCTCAAAACATGGCAACTGCTTCAGCAAAGCGGAGCTAAAGTCAGTTTTAATCCGCAGGTCGACCGGTCATTCAAGGCTTATGGCTCGTCGATTCCTATAAACATGGTGGGAATGTTTGTTGCCGAAATAGAGGCAGCCATAAACAAGGTCGATGCTACATTCTACGTAGCCGAAAACGGAATGCAAAGTCTTCTGGGAGATGAAACGGCCAAAAGGCTTAAGGTGTTAAAGATCGGCTACAACGTTGGTTCGGTCCAAGAAATTCCAGCTGCATTTCCGAAGATCAAAGGAGTTCTTGTTGAGATTCCAGTGAACCCCGATGTCAAACCCGTACAGCAACCATACCGTCGTGCTCCATTCGCATTGGAGGACAAAATTGCGGAAAAACTTCGATATCTACAGAACCAGGACATTATTGAACGGGTGCAGCAACCGTCGGCATGGGTTTCCCCAATTGTACTAGTTGTGAAGGATAATGGTGAGATACGTCTATGCGTCGACATGCGTAGAGCAAATCAAGCTCTAGGGAAACGCACCCACTGCCAATAATTGAGGAGCTCTTTGGGGGAATCAATGGTGCAGTTCGATTCTCAAAGTTGGACATCAGAGAAGCGTATCACCAAGTGGAAATTTCGGAACGATCAAGAGAAATCACAACCTTTATTACAAAGCAAGGACTGTTCAGATATAAAAGGCTAATGTTCGGTATTAGCTGCGCTCCTGAACTGTTTAAGAAGGTGATGGAGTCAGTCATTGCTGGGCTAGACAGTGTGGTCGTTTACTTAGACGACATAATGATCTGGGGACGAAATCCAGAAGAACACGACCGCAGGCTAAATGCCCTTCTATCTCGTCTACAAGAATGCGGAATTCTACTGAACAAAGAGAAATGCGTTTTCAATGTTTCTCAACTCGAATTTCTAGGTCATGAGATGTCTAGTTCGGGTATCCGGCCAACAGAAAGTAGGATTGCGGCCATCAAATCATTTCGGCTTCCGTGCAATGTTTCAGAACTACGTAGCTTCCTCGGGATAATAACATATGTTGAAAGATTTCTACCATCTTTGGCAGACAAAACAGAGCCACTTCGGAGTCTATTTCGCGTTGGGGAAAAATTTGACTGGCAACCAACACACACACGAGCGTTTAAAGAGATCAAGTCTGCTATGAGTGGAACTAATTTTCTTGGCTATTATGATCCCAAAGATCTCTGTATTGTAATAGCCGATGCGAGTCCCAGTGGATTGGGCGCTGTTTTGCTTCAACAGGATGCAGGTGGTAAAATAAGAATCATATCGTTCGCAAGCAAGTCTTTGACAGAAGTCGAAAGAAAATATTTTCAAACGGAGAGGGAAGCGCTATCATTGGTTTGGGCCGTCGATAGGTTCAAATTATATCTGCTCGGAAAAAGATTTAAACTAATAACTGACTGTAAACCTTTAAAATTCCTGTTTAAAGAGCGATCCAAGCCTTGTGCCAGGATAGAACGATGGGTATTGCGTCTGCAGACGTACAATTTTGATGTGGTGTATGAGCCGGGAGCAAACAATTTGGCCGATGCGCTTTCTCGATTATCAGTGACCAATCCTGTAGCATACAGATCATCGGATGAAGGTTGCATATTACAATTGGCTGGATTTCTTAGCGCCGTATTTGTTGAAGAAGTCGAAGAGAATATCTTGAAAGATGCAGTGCTTCAAAGTGTTCAACAGAGTTTGGAAACTGGAATATGGAATGAAATTACTAAGGAATTCAAACCGTTTAGCTCAGAGTTGTATCGAGTTCAAAACTTACTGTTGAGAGGAGATAGGTTAGTCATTCCAGAGCGGCTAAAGTCACGAGTATTGGAAATCGCCCACGAATCTCACCCGGGAATGGTGGATATGAAGAGAAGGCTTCGTCAAAAGGTGTGGTGGCCACAGATGGATAAGCAACTTGAGTTATTCGTTAAGAAATGTAAAAACTGTACTCTAGTATCAACACTAAATCCTCCTGAGCCACTGAACCGCACCAAATTACCTGAAAAAGCTTGGGCCGATCTTGCAATTGATTTCATCGGCCCGTTACCATCCGGTCATAACCTGCTTGTGATTGTGGACTAAATACTTTAGTCGTTTCACCGAAGTGATAATCATGAAGCAAATTACGGCACATTTCACTGTGAAGGCTCTACATGAAACGTTTTGCCGTTTCGGAATGCCTGAGTCCATAAAAACCGATAACGGCCCCCAGTTCATCAGCAATGAACTCCAAGATTTTTGTAAACACCGCATTCTACGACAGGGGTCGCCACCTCAATATTGATGTTCGGAAGGAAGCTGAAAGACAAGTTACCTGGCTTATTGATGAAAGGATCCCTCATCTTGGAGGAGATTTATGATCGCGATCATCTGCAGAAGATGAAAGGATCGGAATATGCTGATAATCGGCGCAGGGCAAAACAGAATGATATTTCGAAAGGTGATACAGTTGTTGCAAAGCGCATACAAAAGGAAAATAAGCTCTCAACGACATTCGACCCTGAGGAGTATTCTGTCGTCGCTCGGAATGGCTCAGACATAACTATAAAATCAAAGGAGAGTGGGAGGGTCATTCACCGCAATGTGGCTCACTTAAAAAAGCTTTTTACAGATACCAAGGATACCGGAAACAAGGATGGCGACCTGGAAACTGAGAAGGACGGCGAGGAATCGTTACAACCAGATCTGGACCGCACATCAACCAATGAAGGAGAAGCGGAAATGGAAAATATCAACCAACAGAGACTCTCAAAAACTGATACGAAATTGCGTCCAAGAAGAGAGATTAAGCATCCATCGTATTTCAAAGACTACAAAGTTGGTAACATTTATTAGTTTTGAGAAAGAGAGGGATGTAGTATCGGTCCTGCCTTTTATAATTAACGTGGTTTGTATAAATCTTGTAATGCACATCCCTGAGTAGTTCTATACTTTGACATCCCTGCCTAAAAGAGCGCCATGACTTGTGTGCCAAAAAGATAATAAAGGACTCTAATTTCTTCTACCAACGAGACTAGACGTGCGTGCCAAAGTATCAGTGTAATATCCGAAACGACACGATCCTACAGGCTCCATCAAGAGGAAGGTTCGAGATTTCGTTCGAACTGGAGAAATGTAACCATCTAATGCTGTGCGGTCTTTTTGTGCGTACTAAAGTTTTCAACAAATCAGGCATAACACTTGATAACGGCACAAAAGCATTTGTAAACAAACTTTCTAAGGCCCTTTAAAGCGAATCAAAGTACGCTCACGCAAACCAACAACATCATCAGATAGGGGCAACTATCACCTTTCCGAAAGTGGTATTGGTTTGCGTGGGCGTACTTTGATTCGCGTGTAAAGGGCCTTAGAAAGTTTGTTTACAAATGCTTTTGTGCCGTTATCAAATGTTATGCCTGAAATCATAACTTTAAAACGTCACTTCCAATCGAAATGACGTCTGTGAGAAAATTGTAAGAAAATATATTCATTTTCATGACAAATATACACGGTAAATATATTGGGTAAAAACACAAATAGGTTAAATTTTAAAAAATGACCCACATCAATATGATCAGAATAGTTGTCATTTTCGGTGGAGTGAAAGGATACTACCAACCGCTGGAAAATAACGATTGAACTTGACTTTAACTTTACTTGACTACCCAACAAACAATTTGAGTTGATTAATAGTTGAATAAGCTAGTTTTAAGCTGAAGAAGCATATTTTTGCCTGAATAAGCTCTTATTCAGCTTTCAATGTTTGGTGGGTAGCCTATTGGTCACAAGTACATCTAAAAGCGTACCCCATTCTAGTCGAAATTCTAGTACTACAATATGTTTGTTTTGATTCGCTTTGAAAGTTTGATAGATAAAATGAGGGGTTCATGGGGTTTCGTATGTTTCGAGGGGTGCATCGATTAGCTTGGGACCAAAGATAGTAGCAGAGCTGATCCAAAAAGTTGAGCACGTTTCTTCGGGACCTTCTGGTCTTAGAGTTACCTCTATGATACTACTGTCTGACGTTTGCTTATGGAGTAAAGAACTACAGAGTCGCCGTCAACGCCAATGATTACCTTGGTTAACATGCTCACATCTGTTGCGCGGGAGATTGGCAGCATAGCAGGGGGCTCGGACCCAAGATGAATGGATAAAGGTGAACATTGTATTTCTCCACACTACGTAGCCTATTGGTCCCACGCAAACGATTAACGTACCCTATTCTAGTCGAAATTCTAGTACTACGCAATGTTTGTTTTGATTCGCTATGAAAGTTTGACAGATAAAATGACGGGTTATTGGTTTTTCCTATGTTTCGAGGGGTGAATCGATTAGCTTGGGACCGAAGAGAGTACCAGAGCTGAGCCAAAAAGTTGAGCACGTTATTTCGAGACCTTCTAGTCTTAGAGTTACCTCTATGCTGATACTTCCGAGACCCAACATATCACAGAATCGGTCCGAGGGGTTTCGTCAAAACATCCGCAAGCATTTGATCGATCGGACAGTATACCAACTTAATCTCCATCTTCTCACACAGATCCTTAACGAAGTTCTCCTCCGTATCGATGTGCTTCGAGCGTCGACTTGAACGTTCCGTCTTCACGAACGCGATGCAACCCTGGTTGTCTTCGTGCATCACCGTTGAACTCTTCTGCTCCTCTCCGAAGACGCGTAGAAGCTGCCTTAACCATACGGTCTCTAGGCAGGCTTCGCTGAGCGCCACGAACTCCGCCTCCATAGACGAGAGAGTGACGGAAGTTTGGCGGCAGCTGGCCCACGATATTACTCCACCTGCATACGAGAACACGAATCCAGATGTCAACTCTCGGCTGCTGACGTCTCCGGCCCAATCGGAATCAGCATAACCGATCAGCGCTTGTTCTGGTTTTCCTCCTAGTTGTAGCCACAATCAATACGAAACTTACGATTTTAAATTGGCTCATTACTTGACTAGCCTATTGGTCCCAAGCAAACGATTAACGGACCCCATTCTAGTCGAAATTCTAGTACTACGCAATGTTTGTTTTTATTCGCTATGAAAGTTTGACAGATAAAATGAGGGGTTATTGGTTTTTCCTATGTTTCGAGGGGTGAATCGATTAGCTTGGGACCGAAGAGAGTACCAGAGCTGAACCAAAAAGTTGAACACGTTATTTCGGGACCTTCTAGTTTTAGAGTTACCTCTATGGTTGTAGACTGTTAGCGGCCATCGTCTTCAAGTATGGGAGCACTCGTATCGCGGCGTTCCAATCTGCTTCTTCCGGACGGCTGAACTTGCGTCCGAGGATTGCAGTCCGTTTTCAAGAACCAAGGCTCCATGAATCGTCCGTTTTCAAGAACCAAGACTCCATGCTCCATCCAAAACTTCGCAACCAGATTCTCGATGTAGTTATGCAACCGAATCCTGTAGACTCTACCAACTCACTGCACCTACATTCCGAGAAAATATCGAACCTCACCAAGACTTGTGATTTCGAACTCTTCCTTCAGAGAATCGAATAGTCGTTTGACTCCTCTTTCGGCCGTTGATCCAATCAACATGTCGTCCAC